ACGGACTTTTTAAAAGCTCTAGGAATGTGCTGTATGGTTTCCAAATAGTTGAGGTTTTCCAGAGACCTAGTGATGATTGATAGTTTAATTCTGTTGTCATCACAGAATGTACTTTGTATTATTTCAATCTTCTACATTTGTGAAACTTCACTTCATGGCTTAGAGCGTGGTCTCTCTTGGTGGCTGTTTGCGCCCATGAAGATGTGCATTTTGCCGCTGTTGGGTGGGCATGCCATGAGTGTTAGGGAGACTGAGAGCCCGCCGAGAGGCCCTGCACTGGGGTCTCCCACCCGTCCGCTCTATCCATGACTGAGAGGATGCTGAGATCCCCAGTGGCCGCCCTGGACTCACCTTGTCTCCTTTCAGACCTGCTGCTTCTGGCGCAGGAAGGTGAAGCTCTGCAGTCACACTTCCACCCTCACCATCATCACTGCAGTCCCTGGGTGGGGCCCACTGGTAAGTGCTCTACTACCGGCTTGAATCCGACCTGAGGTGCCTCGGAAGGCAGGCCTGGTGACCTGCTTCTGTAAAGTCAGAGCACGGAGCACAGTTCCACTCGGACACGTGGGGTTGCCGTGAGCCGGCCGACCTGACGGTCACTGACCACGCCCACAGCACTGCGGAACGCCCTCTCCGGCCCCCGTCATCCTGCTTGTTCTGAAGTCTGCTTGTCTGGTGTGAGCGTGGCTGCCACGGCCTTCTCCTGGTTGGGATCTGCCTGGTGTCTCTTTCTACCTCATAGACTTTGGACCTGGCCACACGATCATATCGAAAGAGGGTTTCTTGTGGACAGCCCAGAGTTGGGTCTTTTTAAAATACAATTTGTCAGTCTCTGTCTTTGCACTGCTGATGTCAGACTGCTCACGTTTAATGTGGTACTGAGATGGCTGGACTGGAATCTGCCGTCTGCTGGTTCTGCTCCACGTTCCAGCTGCTTTGTTTTCCTTCCCACTTTGGAGGAACAGTGTGGCGGCTTTGACTCTGCTGTCTCCACTGTCGGCTTATTAGGAACCCCGGTGATGCAGTTGTTAAAGTGCTCAGCCACTGACCAAAAGGTCAGTGGTTCGAACCCACCAGCTGCTCCACAGGAGAAGATGAGGCAGCCTGCTTCCATAAAGATACACAGCCTTGGAAGCCCCGAGGGGCAGCTCTACTCTGTCCTATAGGATCACTGTGAGTCAGGGTCCACTCGATGGCAGTGGTTTGGCTGGGTGTTGGTTTATTAACATGCTCGGCTGCTAACAGAGGCTGGAGGTCTGAGTCCTTGAGACGCCTCGGGAGGCAGGCCTGACGACCCACCTGTGTGTCATCCGAGCAGTTCTGCTCTGACACCCACGGAGGCGCCACCAAGAGTCAGCTGACCTGGTGCCCACTGCAGGCGGTGGAGATGGGTGCATCATCAGTACCTCTTTACAAGTGCTTAACGATCGCCCTCAGATTTCCAATACACACCTGTAATAAGCTGCCGCTGACTTTCAAATACAACTCTGCTGCTTCACGTGTAACCTAAGAGCCTCGTGGCAACGGACGCCCAGGACCTCCTGCCATCTTTTCTGCTGGAATCGGCATGGATTTCGCTGCTCCACGTGCTGTGAACCGACATACACTGCCACTAGCTTTGCCTCACAGAGCCAACTATCTCTGAGAGATGATAAAGGACAACAAGCGTCCTTTCTATTCACTTCATTTTAATCACCTGAGTTCGTCGCTTCTTTCCGTAGGTTCAGGTTTCTCTTGAGTATCGTACTCATGCTGGAAAAGCTGCCTTCAGCATTCTTGCTTGTCAAGGTAGAGAGTGAGCGAGTAGACTCCTGTGTTATGTGTGTTACAGAGCCCAGGACACCCGCTTCTACAGTCTGCACAGACCTAGGAGCCTGGACATTCCCTGCTGCACTGGAAGGACCAAAGCTGGCAGAGCCGGGACAGCCGCTCTGCACAGCTCTGCCATGATCAACATCACATTTGGGCTTCAGGACCCTGTACAGTGGCGGGTGGCCAGGCCATGGGGCTGACACCTGTCACCTTCATTCCAGGGGCACCCCAGATTCATCAGTGCAAGTCCTCAGACGTCCCCAGGGACACAGACAGGACACAGAGGAATAACTACGCTGCCTCTGCAAAAAGGGGAGTGTGACCTGCGCCACAGAATAGGCCCTGGCACGTGCTTGCACCTGACGAGTGACAGGTAACATCTGTGGAGAGGGAGGAGCCCGGGGGACAGACAGCTAGGTACCTAATAGCCGAAGGGTCGGGGGTTTGAACCCACTCAGAAGCACCTCAGAACACAGGCTTGGTGACAGCTTCTGAGAAAGCAGCCACCGAGACTGGAGCAGCCCTGCTGCACGCGCCTGGGGCCCCGGGAGCAGAGTCGGCTCGGCAGAGACAGAGAATGCAGAGCGGTGCTCAGACGAGAGCTGAGCCCTGGCTGGCGCCGTCCTGGGGACCTGTTCCTTCAGCCAGCTCCTGTGAACTGGGCGGGCACACGTGCCCCTATGCCTGCCTCAGCGAACTGGGGAGGCCCGGAGGGTACAAATGGCTACAGGCCCAGCTACCAGCCAGAGGGTTGGGGCTTGTGTACATCCAGAGGCATCACAAAAGAAAGGCCTGGTGGGCCACTTCTGAGAATCAGCCACTGAGAACCGTCAGGTGCATAGCTCTGCCTGACATATGGTCACAGGAGGCAGAGCTGACTTGATGGCAACGGGTTTGGTTTTCTGTGGAAGTAAACTGTGCTCAGGAAAAGACAGCCAATCCACTCATCTGCAGTCTCAGAGAGCGTTGGGGTATCTGTGGCACTCCCCCTTTGTTGGACACACGTGACCAAGAACTTTAAGCAGAGCCAATGAGCACCACGCTGAGTGATGGCCACCTTCACAGTCACGGCCGCCCTTCACAGCCACGGCTGCCTGCATGGCCACGGCTGCCCTTCACGGCCATGGCCGCCCTTTAGGGCCACAGCCACCCTTCACAGCCACGGCCATGTTCCTTTCTCGTCTGACCCTGCTCTCCCTGAGCACAAGCCCACACCAAATCACCTTTGACATTGAGCTGGTTCCTGTCTCTTACACAGAGCAGCCCCTAGTCCTAGAGGATGACTCGTTCCCCACGTGCCAGGGTCTGCTCACCAACACCCAGTTGACTGCGGCCACGTCCCCTCCTCTCAGCAACAGCACCCTTGGGCCGGCCAAGGTGCTTTCCTCAGCCTGCGGATGGACGGCCCCTCTACAGCCCTGGGAGGGAAGAGGACCTGGACATGCTCCTGGACCGTGAGGGTGCTGGCCACGGCATGACCCATGCGCCGCAGTGGTCCTTTGGGCATGTTTCTGTGGCGCTGTTGCCCCTGACTATAAAGGAATGTTGCAGTCAGTGCAGGGAATACAGAAAGATAGGAGAGGTGGGAGGAAAGCTGAGTTCAGTGCCCCCACAAGCACCCCCGGGGATCCCGGGCCTAAGATTCGAGGCCTTGCAATCTTCTCTGTGCACACGGGAGTGGGTGTGGCGGACAGCCACGGCCGTTCTGCACGTCCAGTGTTTTCACCTCTGCAGACGTCTTGTCATGAGAACCGCTGACACACTCAGCTTTTCAAGCTCTGAGTTTCAAAGCCCCGAAGGCACCTTGTGAACTGCTTCCTGATTTCTAGCCAAGCTCGCTGCTGCCGGACTTGGAAGTCCAGCCTAGGCTTCACCCTCACCTCTGGTTGCTTCCTTAAGGTCCCATCTTAGCAAAGCCGTCTCTGGGCCACAGGATGTGGCTTTCAAGGCTTCTGCTGCTGACCGCCAACCGGTGGTCTAGAGAACCTGGGCCGCTCACCTCCCAGGTTCACCTGGAAAGCAGAAGGGGTCCCTCTCTGCTGGCTCTGCAGCGGGGAGCTCGATAAATAGCTTATCATGTGCCTCAGGCACCGGCACTGGTTGGTTGGTGCTTTTACTGAGGAAAATCAGTGTTTGGGGTGGAAGAAGGGGTGCAGGGAAGGGCTGTAACCAAAAGCCTGAATATTCTGCTGCAAGAAGGTTATTTAGATGCTTGGCTTGAAGCACAACCAGGGAGCTATGACTTTTACTGCTCAGTGATCTACACGAGGAAGAAAAATGGCTCTCCAAGAATATGTTTTAGACGCAGGAGAGTCTGAGAATGAGTTTCCAGAAGGGCTCCCTGCAGGGAGGCTGGCGCGAGGATTCTGCACTGACAGCTACCCCCACTCCCGCCTGTGGTGACATGTGGGCTGTCACTCATGTGTGGCACGAGCCTCCGGATCATGCTCACAGCTGGCCCGTGGGGATGAGCTCCGAGAGGGGCTGCCGAGAGCCGCCCACTAGAACCAGCCCAGTGCTGCATCTTTCAAAACCTGTTTGGTGTCGTGGGCCCTGAGAGCTACTGTGTGTCCTGGTATGGCCTTGGACACCCTCAGCACTGGGGGTCAGAGAACCTAGGGGGCATGTAGGTAGGAGGAGACGGCAGAGAGTGTGTGTGTGACCACGTCAGCCTGAGCAGGTGCAACGATGTGTGAGCAGATGTATGCATGCATGTGTGTGCGTGTGTGCAGTGGGTACGTGTGTGTGCAGTGGGTAGGTGTGTCTGTGTGTGCAGTGGGCATGTGTACATACAGATGGGAGGCAGAGGAAGGCCTGCCTCAGGCTGGTTTATCCAACGGGTGAACTCTAGCTCCCGTGACAGTCTGGCGTCTGGCCACGACCAGCTCAGCATGGGGGTGAAGCCCTGTGGGGCCAGTGGTGTGGATGCCGCCCAGGGCCCTGTGCTCCCTCCCACAGCCCAGGCCACAGGCTAACGGGAGCCCCAGTGAGCCCTAGGCAGGGGCGTGGGCCTCAGGGGGAGCACAGCTCTGGACATGTGAGGGGCACTGGGGCTCAGGCACCAAGACTAGATGCTGGGAAAACCGAGGAGGAGGACAGCACAGAGTGAGGGTCCTGGGGCCTGGCGTCTGCACACAGCAGTGGGAGGGTGTGGCCCCATGATGGGACCCCCAGTGCTAGGAACGAACCTTCATGACAGGCTGAGCAAAGTATCTGGCGCTCCAGTCACAGAAACCTGTCTGCACAGCGGCCGAGATGAAGCTCTTGTGCTCCGCGGTGTCATCAGCGTCATCTGTGGTCTTCAGGGGGCGTGGGAGAGACAGAAACAACAGTCAATCTCTGGGTACAGGGAACATCCCTGAGTGAGAGCAGGGACTGTCCCCAAGAGGGTGAGAGCAGGGCATTGGCGAGGACTGTCCCTAAGAGAATGACAGTGGGGATGCTGGTGGGAACCATCCCCGAGAGGGTGACAGTGGGGACACTGGTGGGGACTGTCCCCAAAAGGATGAGAGCAGGGCACTGATGAGGACCATCCCTAAGAGGGTGACAGTGGGGACGCTGGCAGGGACCGTCCCCTAGAGGGTGACAGTGGGGACGCTGGCGGGGACTGTTCCCAAGAGGGTGACAGTGGGGACGCTGGTGGGGACCATCCTCGAGAGGGTGAGAGAAGGGCACTGGTGAGGACCTCCTGTATCAGGTGACAGTGAGGTGACAGTGGGCACTCGTGGGGATCTCCTGTATCGGGTGACATCGGGGCATTGGTGGGGACCTCCTGGATCAGGTGACAGCAGGGTGACAGCGAGGCGCTGGTGGGGTTCTGGCACTAATGGAACATGTTCTGAGTTTCTTCTCAGTCTTATCCATGTGACCAAGAAGCCTCAAGTGTGTGAGGTGTGTGGAACCAGACGTGGTGACGCTTGCTCCCAAAGGCATGGACAAGGCCACTGTCATCTGCACTGACCTGCTAACGACTGGATTCCAGAGTGCACAGTGGTGTTGTTCCTGCTGACCCACCCGGCTCTCCCATAGCCCCCTACGGCCATGCACCTGGTGCACCCTGAACTGCTGCCTCTTGACCTGGGTGCTGACCGAGGGAGGGAAAGCCACGATGATAGGACAGCCATGGTCCCTGCGTTCGTCAGGGAGCAGCTTATGAGTGCTCACTCCCTCATGAATGAAAACACCACTTCCTGTCCCTCTTGAAATTATTCTCAAGTAAGCGGGGAAAAAACCCACTGCTGTCATGGCATTGTGCCTAAGGCACTTGACTGCTACCAGAAGGCTGGCGGTTCAAACCCACCAGCCACTCCTTAGAAGGAAGATTGGGTAATCTACTTCCATAGTTATAATGCCTCGGAAACCCAAGGAGGGGTCACTATGAGTCGGATCCGACTTGACAGCAGTGTCTTCGGTTTTTTTGGTTTGGTTGAGTCAATTCCAACTCCCAGCAACCCCCACTGAGTTTCCAAGGCTGTAAACCTTTACAGAAGTAGACTGCCTCATCTTCATCCTGTGGAGCAGACGGTGGGTTCAAATCGCTTACCATTTGATTAGCAGCCCAATGCCTTCCCCACTGCGCTACCAGAGCTCCTTACTAAGCTAAAGGCATGCTAGGATGCTGATAGAGAAGCACATGACCCTGAGGGTGGCAGCCACACCAGGCAGAGTGGACTTCTGTCCATCAGGAGGGGGTGCAGAGGAGTGCCACGCTCTCACTCATTTCTGGACATTACATCATGGGGATGAGGACGGGAGCTGTGGGCCCTGCGGTGTCACAGAGATGGGGCCGCACAAACTCGGGGCACACTTATCAGGCAGCATGTGAGCGACAGCCAATGGTGGCCCCAAAGGTGGCACTATCCATATGGAAAGGGGCAGCCACTCCGGCCCTGCTGCTGGTTATGGCCACCTGGCCCCACAGCTGGTTACGGCTGCCCCTGCCCTGCTGTCAGTGAGCTGTGATGCCACATGGTTATGGCCACACTCAGAGCAGAGCGTGTCAGTCTGTTAACAGCATCTCATCTGTGGTAGTTTAAGTTTGTGTTCAACCTGGCTGGGCCTGGTTGAGTGCCTGGACAGCTGGATGTAGTATTCCCCAGGATGAGACTGGTAATCAACTCCATGGTGGGATCTACTGTGAGCAGCTGAGTAGCTGCTTTGGGTATGTGGTCTGCTTTCTGTATGTAAGAAACAGCTTTGGGAATGGTCTCTAGCCTATGGCACGCTTGGACCCTTCATGTAGCCATGTCATTGTTCAGCAGCCTGCCATGCTGTGCCAATCTTGGGACTTACAACAGACTTGAATTAATGGCCTGCTGTGTGGTTTGGTAACATTGGGACTGTGCCATTTTATTTGTCGACCTTGGGCTTGCTTATCAGCCTCAGCAGCCAGCAGCTGTCTTGAATGAAGAGCTGCCTCTAGCTTCAGCAGGCCAGGAACAAGAGGCAGAGCTGAAGCCCAAGGTCGAGGGGCTTTCACCCAGCCCCTAGAGCCTGGCCCTTTGAACTTGGACTTAAAGCCGCCAAACTGTAAGATAATAAACTCCTATTTGTTAAGGCCGTCCCGTTTCAGGTATACTTCTGTCCGGCATCAGGGAACCAGAGCATCAGTGGATGAGAATTGTGTTTGGAAGCCACGGGGCACCACGAAGAGTCGCATCTCCTACCTGGTCTGGGCCCTTGTCGAACATCTTCCGTGTCCGGGGGAACTGGTGGGAGTGGGGTGTGTACTGCGCCCCCACGGTGCCTGTGGCTCCTGGCCGGCCTGTGGGCAGGTCACGGCTGACCGGCTGCTTGGCCACGTCATTGGTCAGGCTGGAGCTGCTTGTGCTGGGCGTCGGTGGGGAACCCCTGCCGTGGGGGAGGAGAGACATCATGGTCACCTGGGCCACTGTGGAGCATCCAGAGGACCTCCTGGTCCCTCCCCTGCCAGATGCTGCCTGACAGACCACAAGCTCGGCTGGCCTCATCCCCAGCAGAGTGTCCTTGTCACCCAAATGCCAATGGGACTCCAAAGGCCACTTCTGTGGTGAGTTAGTGACTGGTGCCAGTGCCGCCAGTGAGCCTGCAGGCCCCTCTTTCATTCCCTAATGCAGAGAAGGCCACACACCAAGCTGACTGTGCGTGGAGCCAGCCTGGGAAGGGGCAGTGTGTCTGCTCCACTCCAGTCAGACCCAGATGCAGGAGAGAGGAGGGTCTGCCTGGGGATAGCTGCGAGAACAAAGATCCTCCCTCAAGCAATTCTGACGGCCACAGAAACCTGGCTCCACTAGGTTTGCTCCCAGGGTGCGTGACTGAAAGAGAGGAATACAGGAAGGGGCTAGGCAGTAGGGGTCAGTGTGCACACGAGTGTGCATGAGAGTGTGTGTGTATGTGCACACACTGGAGGGAGGGGGAAGACAAGGTACAGGGTCAGTGTGTATGTGAGTGTGTGTACGTGCACACATCAGAAGGAGGGAATGAGGACAGGGTCAGTGTGCACACAAGTGTGCACGAGAGTGTGTGTGTATGTGCACACACTGGAGGGAGGGGGAAGATAAGGTACAGGGTCAGTGTGTACGTGAGTGTGTGTGTACATGCACACATTAGAGGGAGGGAATGAGGACAGGGTCAGTGTGTACGTGAGTGTGTATGAGTGTGTATGTACATGCACATGTCGGGGGAGGACATACAGGTCAGTGTGCACGTGAGTGGATATGAGAGTGTGTGTGCATGTGCATGTGTCAGAGAGAGGGATGGGGAAAAGGGCACAGGGAAGGAGGAAAAGAGATGATTCAAAGGACGAGGTATAATCCCAGGACATCGGCAGGATGCCCCCAGGATGAGAGTCCCCACAGGCACAGCCATCGCGAGGCACTTACCCCACAGGGTGAATGAGTGTGCTCTTGTTGGTGGGGCTGGCTGGGGCCGACTGCGTGAGGGAGGAGGTGTCGAGGATACGCTGGGGCCGGGCGTTCATCGTGGCCTGGAAGAGCGAAGTCACCATAATTAGGGGCCTGGGAAGAAGGCTTGTTGGGGTCAAGAGATAAAAGCGTGAAGTCCAGTGGGGGACTATCGTCTGGGGTCTCAGGGTGAAATACAAGGTTGGGGGGCTCGTGGGTGGCTTCAGACAGTGGAGGCATTTTGGTCAGGAAATCTCAGGCACAGCTGTGGGTCCCACTGGCATTTTCCCCAACACAGTGCTCTAGAGAAGTGATATTCTAGGAATTACCTGTGGGTCAGCGGGGCTCAGGATGGGCCCATGGGGTGGCCATGACAGCTTAGATGGGAGGCCAGGTATGGAGGTCTGTGTTGTCTCAGAAGCTCCAAGGGGCTTGTGGGGAGGGGAAGCCTCAAGGCTTCTCCCTTTAGAAGGCACACAGTCTGTCTCCACCTCCTTCCCCCACCGCCTCCCTAAAAATGGAGTAGCATCCCCACCTGGGAGCCTGATCTTCTAGAACATTCCAGCTCTCATTTGAGAGCTACAAGGTGGGGGCAGCATGATCACACGACAAACCCAAAGACCTCGGCACGGGTTCCTCCCAGGTAGGGTTCCCGGTGACCTGTGCTTCTGTCCCTCCTTATGAGACCTCTTAGTGTCCCCATTTGTGGGGCTGCAGGGGACTTTGCGTGGTGCTACTGAGGGGCCACTGGCAGGAGGTGTTCTGTAATTAATCAGGTGTCTGGCCAAGAGGTGGCCTGGTGGACAGTTGTGGAGGCAGCCAGGGCCTCGGATTCTGTGGGACAGTGCTCATGTCACTCCTCAGAGAAGTCACACCAACTGACTGTAGAGGATCTGGAAGGGGCTGAGGGCCCACTTGTCAGATCTGGGCTCTACTCCTCGGGGAGAGAAATTGCCTCCAGTGCAAAGCGGGCCCTTGACCAAGGGCGTCCTGGGGCCTCACCTCACAGCTTCCCACTCCCTGAGGGCCTGTGCCGCCCAGCTCCTCTTGTGTGTCCCCACATTGGGGCTGTGTGCTGGGGGTCAGACATCTGCTGCTGGCCAGATGGGAGGAAGGCTGGTGAGACCGCCCCTGGACACAGCTGTCGGTCGTGAAGGCAAGGTGGGCCCTTCTGCAGACTGCCTACCCTAGAAGGGTCTGCACAGCTGGAGGCCTGGCCTTGGGGTGGGGCTTGTCTTGATTCTGTAATGGGGTTTCATGGGAACTGGAGCTGCCGTGAGAGACACTGGCCAACCAGCTGCTGGCAGAGTCCCTGTCTGCCCGCTGCTCTGGTTCCTTGGTGCCACCTGGCAGGCGAGTCCTGTAGGTTCTGGACACCAGAGGTTGTGAACATTTGCAGAGAGGATGCCGAGTTCTCTGGCTTTAATGAGGACAGTGTGGCAGCCATTGGCTTGTTACCCAACAAATGCTCCCTGCCAGCCACCTGAGTTGAACTTATGCTGAGGCTTGGGACTGTGAACCGACAGGTGAAGTGGGACCTCCACGGTCTACGGTCTCAGGGAGCCTGGATCCACTACCAAAAGATGCCCCTGAAGCTCTGAATCAGTCACGTGGCAGCTGGGCCGGCTGCCTGCAATCCCCACGACAGAGTGAAAACTCAGACCGCGCCCCACCCACTCTGCAGGCCACTGCTGCCGAGACGGTCCCTCACCCTAGGGCACAAATGGGAAAACAGCCTCAACCAGCCTCTAAGAAGGGTTTGTTATTTTTAATTATAAAAGAAATATATTCTCTGTGGACTTGTTCTTTTTGGTATTTAAAGTATCCAGCCACTCTTACACACACCCCTCCACACACACCCCTCCACACAAAACCTAAGAGCCATATAACCTTTCAAAAAGTCTAAAAAGAGAAAGGAATTTTAAATGAAGAAGCTCGAAATGGAACATGGGCCTTCCCCATTTTCCAGAAAGACAGTGGGAGTGACGGGGAAGAAGCCTCAGCAGCTGAAAGGAAGCTGCCAGCGGGGCCTGCAGGCCTCCAGACACACGACCCTGCGGGGGACTCAGGAGCCCGCTCTCCAAGCCTCGGGGACTCCCCGGGGGCCCCTCATCATCAGTCACCAGGCCTGTGCTCAGCAAGAATGGTCCCGTGTGAGAATGGGAGGGGGCGGGAGGTGGTGCGCGTGTCCCTCCTCACACCCTGGGGTGGGGACACTGGGCCAGAGCTCCTTCCATGTCCAGGCCGCCAGCAAAGCCCCTCTCCACGCACAGGCTCAGCCTGCGTGCTGGCGATCTCGGGTTCCCGGAGCTGGGGGTCTCTCGAGCCCACTAACCTCCATTTCTTACAAACACCAGACGTGCGGGTGGCGCAAAGGGACCAGTGGAGCAGAGCTATCCCTGAAGGGGCTCCCAGCTGCCCTGCCTCACCTGCGTGAGGACAGAAGGTGTCTCCAGGGAGCGGGGCACAGGAGGGAGAAGGCTCCCCAGGGGGCCCTTTCTGGATGTGCTGGTCAGCAGCTCAGGTAGAACTGACTGTTGGAAGAATGAACAAGAATGGAGTTTGCTGGATGTTGGGGGTGAGGGTGTAGGCTGAGGGGTGAGCTCGGTCTCCTGGACTCAGGCTCTCCATTGGCCAGTGGGTCACGGCCCCACCCCAGCTCCAGGGCTCCTCCCCCTGCAGCCAGCCCTGGGGAACTGGACATGCAGCATGGCCTGGAGAGTTCTCTGGAAGTTTCCCTCCTGACCAGGAGCTGAGACCAGAAGAGGAGGTGCAACAGTGAGGGGCTGTGGGAGTGTATTGTCCATCCCCTGCCCCTGACTCACAGGGTGACAGATGCCACCAGTTAAAAGCTGAATTCTCAGGTGAGACACTCTCTTAGTCTGAGGTAAACACAATAGCCACCTGCAAGGATGTATGTATGTACATGTACCACCTGTGCACGTGCACATGTACTCATGTGTACACACGCAAGTACACGCACTGTGCAGCTCACATGTGCTCATGTGTACACATATTTGTATGTGTTTAAGGGTGCATGTACTTACATGTACTGTGTGCACATGTGCCATATGTACATGTATTTGGAGCCCCTGTTGCTTGGTGAGAGAACACACAACTGCCTTTGTCTATGTTGTTAGTGATCTCCTGCAAACAACATTTTCTGGATAAACAACACCAGCCTGCCTTTTGGGACTGCAATCCCAGGTGTTACTGAGTGAAATGACAGCGCGACTGTCATCAATGCCATTAGTTACTAGTGACGCAATGGGAAGGTCTCTGTGGTGATGCACAGTGAGGCGAAGGGGCTTCCCACCCCATGGACCCGGTGCCTGCATGGAGGCTGCTCTGGCCCAGCTCCCCCTTCACAGAGAACAGCGGTGAGGAAGAAGATGGTGACGAGACACTGTACTGAGCCAACGAAAGGCAGCCGTCTGGGCCCTCCGCAGTCCAGGTCGGGATGGGCTTCCCAGAAGCACTGCATTCAGCATTCACACCCACGTGCCAGGCAGGTCCTGTTCCAGTGGTACCAGGAGTCATCCCTGGGAGTGTCAGCAGTAAGTGAGCTCAGCTGGTCACCACAAGGTTGGGGGTTCACGTCCACCCACAGGCTCCTCAACCAATGGAAACCCCACGGAACCCAGGTCCGCTTGGACTCATGCGGGGGCACCAGGAGTTGGACTGGGCTTGACAGCAGCTGGTGTGGTTTTGGTAATAAATTCAGTTTTCACTAGAAGCGGATAGTACAATGTCTATATGCAGCTTGGCCAGGACAGAAATGCGGAAGGCACCAGTCAAGAAAATTGTGGCAGTTTCCTCTGGCCCGGGGGCTACTGGTGCCTGCTGCAAGGCCTGAGGGGGCACGTCCATGACAGGCAGAACCAGTGGGGTTCTAACAGATACCGCAAGGACAGGGAAGGGCAACCTCTCATATTGTGAGAGATAATTTCGTGAGGTGTGACTCCAGGTGTGGATTCCAGTTCCAACGCGCTCTGAGCAGGCTTTCTGGGTGTTTACCTGTCACATCAGCCAGAGGCGTACAAGGAAATGGTTTCACCTTTAATCAAATGTGTCACTCTGTTTTCTCATTGTGTCTTACCGTCATGGGCCCTACAGTGAACCCTGGCGAATGGCAGAGGCCACAGCACTATTTCCAAGTGAGTTATGTTTGTAAATCTCAGAAACATGAACACAGTAATGCCTCTCCCATTTGAAAACCTGCAGCCCAGACCTGTCTCAGTGTGACCCCAAAGCCAGTGGCGACGGGCCTGGGGGTGGCAGGAACCTGAGCGCTAGTGCACTCTCCTCTCACTGCCGTTGGTTTGGAATCTTCCCCAATAAAGGCAACTGCCAAGCTCATGGGACGGGAATAGGAGTACGTGAGGCCAGGCCACGGCTTGACCTGAGTCTCTGGCACACAGCTGGCAGCGTGCTGGGTCCTGGAACACACAGCTTGGGGGCCCCATGGCAACGAGCTGTTTCCGACAAGGATGAGCAGACACCTGGCTCCAGAGACAGTGGCGAGGCAGCCTCATGTCTCTGGAGCTCGGCCTGCAGTCCCTGCAGGGACAAGGGCAGAAGGCATGCAGACAATAGAGGACCTCCTGTTGCTCACATGCCCAGCGCCCTCAGAGCAGAGACCACACGGAGACACACGCACACACCCAGACACGCACATGCGCACACAGAGGGTGCTGGGAGATGCTGCGAACTCTCACGCCAGGCCAATCTGACCCTTGCTCCCCCGCCCGTGGTGTGGCAGGGCTGTGGACAAATGGCCACACGTACCCTGGGAGGCCTGTGAATCTGGATCAGCGAGGCGGCATGGAAAGCCAGAGCCACAGCTGTGGGGTTGGGGCTCAGGGAGGGGGCAGCACTTACAATTCTCCTTCTCAGATTGCCACGCTCTGTCAGGGCAGCTTTGCACACTGTGGGAGGTTACACGCAGGACGCGGGCAACCTGACCACGGGACAGAGCATTTGTGGCTCACAGCTCCCCACTATACACACAGCCCTGAAGGACCAAGAGCCGTAGGGGCAGCTGGCTGTAGTGACCTTGTCGTTGTTGTTAGGTGCCCTTGAG